GAGAGAGAGAGAGAAAGACAGAGGAAAAAGTATGGTTGAAAATGTGTTTGAAATAGAGAGAGAGAAAGAAAGAGAGATTTACAAGAAATGAGAAGTAGGTTTGTTACACGATGAGGAACTAGAATGTAAATTAATTTATTTTATCGAAGGAACACGTTATATATACTGTCGAGAAAGGATAGACGAAAGGAAAACGTAAAGATGCATCGATTTACGCTGTATACACATATATACGTATACATGCATGCAAATACACGCGCGTATAGACAGATCGAGGGGAGAGTAATCGAGACGACACTCTGTCATCTTTCGAAATTGATGGCTGTAAATAAAATAAGTATTCGTCTGAATGATCAAACGGAAAATTCGATCGAAGAGGATTGAACTTCCGGAGCGTCCTTGCGATCGCGCGGATAATGTATTTACCGAGATGAGTATATTTTCTCAAGAATTTGGAAATTTGCAAAAAGCAAACGCTTATATTACTTGAATTTATTAAATACCTTCGAGTTGAGCCTCGCTTGAGTCTTGATTATTCTTCACGTTACAACCTGCGTCCAACGAGATCTCCATCTCTTCCCCTTCTTTTGAATATCTCTTCTCCTATATCTATCACTACCATCATCATCATCATCATCATCATCATCGTCATCATTATCATTCGTGCATCCGGCGAAGTTTCGCATTGTCCGACTTTAGGATTGATAGTCAAAGATCGAATGAAGGAGCGATAGAGAGGGAGAGAATGTAGGAAAGCTTTTTACCAAAAATACGCGAAAATTGCGGACTACTCGCGCGACATACAAGAAATTGATAAAGATGAAAAAGAGACGGCAGCGAGCAGGTAGTTAGGTAGATTTAGTAAAGAAAGAGAGAGAGAGAGAGAGAGAGAGAGAGAAAGAACGAGAGAGACGAGTCGCGTAGTTATTATTATAATATTACAATAATGACGCTGTATTATTATAATTAACAATTTACTATTATTGACGTCATCTAAACGTATGAAAGATTTTTACACTGTTGAGACTTGAAGTAAATAATATATTTAGTTTATTTTGGTACATCACAATGATGAGAGAGTGAGAGTGAGAAAACGAGAGAGATAAATTAACGAAAAAAAAAAGAAAAAATGAGGGCGAAGAAGTAGAAAGGTGGAGTACGAGCTATTTTTTAAGATACAGACTTTATTACTCGATTTGAGTCCACGCATTAAGGTAAAAAGTAAAAAAAAGAACGCAGAGAGTAAGTATGAAAGGGAGAGTGATTGAGAAGGAAAGAATGTGAGAACGAAAGAAAATGAGAGAGTGAAAGAGAGAAGGAATGAGAGACGAGAAGCTGAAAGAAATGTGAAAAAGCGAGAGAGAGAGAGAGAGAGAAAGAGAGAAAGAAGCACTTATTGGCGAGTGCATATTGTGTATTTGCACAAGGCGAGATTGTCACCACTTGACTGACAAAAAAAAATCCACATGTGATTTTAATAGTAAATTTTGAGAATTTTACTAAATAGAGACTTGTATACACTAAAAAAAAAGTAACTAAAGTAATTATCGTGACTGACCAAACGAAAAAAAGGAAAGAGGGAGAGAAGCGAGTAAACAGCAGCAGTAATAGTTGCGCCGACTGGTTCAGGGGATAAAGCGGAGAAAGAAGGAGATGAGGACGGTGAATATAATTTGTCCATCATCCCCGGATACGGGAAAAGAGGTTATACGAGAGAGGTCGGAAAAAAGGATAGGCGAAACAGAAAGAAAGAGAAGAGGAGAGCGATCGCGAGCGAGATAGTTATTATGTACAGAGAACGCGCAGAGACGCGTCTTTTTTTTTTTTTTGTCGGCGACGTGTTTTTCGCATAGGTAGAGTTGAACTTGATGATTAAAAAAAAAAAACCATAGGCTAAGCGTGACAAGTGAGCAAGCACTCGCTTGGATTAGGAGATAAAGGGAGAAGGGCGATCTTTTATTGGATTAAGAAGCGACTAAGTTTATAGATAGACGTAGATAGGTAGAATAATAGTTTAGTTACATAGTAGTTAGGATACGAATATGCCTCTCATCCCCCGTGTCCCCTACCCTCCTTCTGTGTGTTGTCGCGGGCATGGGGGGCACGGGCGTGGGGCACCGTTCAGCCTATGCACCTCGCACCCGTAAGACTGACTGGCTATTCATATTAATTGATAAATATGTATACATATATATAATTCACAGCATATATATATATATATACTATATATATATATATATATATATATATACATATATATATATATATATGAACTACTTGTATAATTGTATAAATAGTAAGGAATTATTTGCTTGCTGCGCACCGCGGGTCGGGTGCGTGGGCTGGCCGGATGTGGGCTCTTGAACTCGTCGATAAGGTGCGGAGGCTCGTGGAATTTCCGCAGCGGAGTTAGTTATCCAGTTCCGAGGACCGGAAGCGTACCGGAAACGATTCCGATCGCTCGGAGGGATGCACCACCCACGTGCGATTGAATCGCGTGGACGTCAGACGCGAAAAATCATCACGAATTTTTGTTTTTCCTATGCGATTCTTTGCCTCTAACGACGCGACGCTTCCGCCGCGGGAACTCGCGAGCTTCTATTCGCGGCCGCCAACAAGTTTCAGGCAGGAAAACGATTCTTGCCACTGCGGACAATGCTGCTTTCCGTAAAGCTATCTCTAGAGGTTTTCGCGTAGACACTCTTTAGATTAGGCGTACCGTAGTTGATAGGCTGATTGTAGAAAAGGAGACGAGAGGAGGCGAGAAATTAATCGAGCGAGAAACGAGAGACGAAAAAAAAGATATAGAATGTTTTTAAGAATAAAATAATGTTAGTCGAAATCGGCTTAAGTGAGTGAAAGCGATTACGTGTGTGGTGCGTGTGAGAGAGGTAGAGAGAGAAAGAGAGTGAGCGAATTAGCGATAAAGCGAGGTCCGAGGTGATAGACTAGATCATCGTCTTGTACTTCGACTTGTACAGTCCTTAGCTTTCCAAGTTTTTAAGTCATTGTTTTACACGTGTTTGTTAAGCGACTTAGCTGTAATTACTCGAGACATCTTGGGTTTCTTCCTCTATATTTCCTTCTCTTCCTCCTCCGATGTACCTCCGCGCCCCCTCCCCCCGTCCCTCCTTTCTTTTTGCATTTGTACTCCGCTGATTCTTCGTGTTCGACGGTGAACGAACCGAAGGCGAAGGAAGCGGAATTTATAATGTAATATTCTACGACGGAACGAGAGACATGTGTACCTCGTGCGTGCCGCTTTTCTTTCCGAGATCGAAAGAAAAAAAAGGAGTAGAAGAAAAAAAAACGAGGAAACTATGTCGTCGGACGCCGAGGTCTCTTTTTAAATCCGCGCGCGAGGATCAATTTGTAGAATTTCGAGAATACTTTTAAGGCAAAGACGAAAAGAAGGCGTTTAGCATGTAATGTGAAGAAAAAAAAAAATCTTTAGACGTTAAGGCAAGTTGTGTCATAGTTAGTTAAGAGATCTAGGGAGACTCTTAGGAAGTCGAATAGGTGCTGTAATAAAACAAAGTTGAACACAAGAAACAAGTCAGAATTAGATTTTTCATGAATAAAGTAAATAAAAAAAATTAAAAAAAAAAAGAAACGAAAAAAACTCGAGGTAAGAATATGAAGAAAAAAAATAAGGAATGTAACACACGCGACGTCGACGACACAAGGGGCATAAGCCACTAAAAAGTGCCCTTAGTTTATTTTGGATCGTTTAAAAAACGCTAGTCTTTGTGTGTGAGAGAGAGAGAGAAAGAGAGAGAAAGAGATAGTAACGTGGAGGTTTTTAGATAGGATCTTCGGAGAACAAACAAGTAAATAAATGAAAAAAGAAAAAAAAGAGGAAAAAGAATTAAAATAAAAAAAACAATCGTGCGACGATATTTGCGAGCAGAAAGAGAGAGAAAGAGATAGGGGCCGACGAGAGTGTACGAGCGAGAGGAAGAGAATGTGCGTGTGTGTGTACGTAGATGTGTGTATGTGCGTAAACTTCGAAGAAGAAATGAAGATAACGCGTACTCTCGAAGAACCGTCATCTGCCTATTTTACACACAGAGACTGTAGCACACGTGTGCGTAATACATACATAAACACGTATATATATACACACACACACATACACATTACTCACATACACTCACACACTTGTACAGGAAGAAAATGAGGGAAAGAATGTGCGTACGCTATTGCGGAGAGGGTGCACGCTCTCCGCCGCTCCTGTATTATTACCGCGTAAAACACCCTATGTGTGTCTCTACTATAGGGGCGTGCACTTGAATCGGTGGTCTTTTTAGAGTTACTTACGAGTAATGAAGAAACACGGTTTGGTAAATAATTAAATAATTCGCGATGTGCGGGGAAAAAGCGAGTTCCCGGATTCGTCACGATTATCATCCCTTATTTTTGATCAATAAACGATCTGTTTTTGGGGATTTATGCCGAGCGACAACGACTCTTACTTCACCCATCTGGCACGATTCTCTTTAAAAGAAAAAAAACTCCAGGATGAGAGAAGAAAAGGAAACCGACTGCTAATCCAGGAACGAAAGATGTACTTTCCATAAACATATATTTATTAGAACAATTTCTATTCTTATGCCTTTTTTTTATTATTATAACAGATGACTCGTGTCCACATCAATCAGATGATGTGGACACGATTCATCTGTTCTACATATCTGCAGATTTTTTATTATTCTTCACGTATAAATATTAATATGATCGAATATACACTTGATTTTTCTCAGTGGACTTATAACTATACACCAGTTTTATTTCTCTAACAAAAAGTATAAAAAAATATATATGTATATACATACGTGTGTGTACACAGATCGCGACATACATACACACATATTTAACAAAGAAAAAGAATTTTAATCAGGGACTGTTAAAAAATTACATAAGTGATTTTTAGATATTTGTATAATAATAATCAATTTCCTAATAATTAAAATAATTATTAACATGAGATGAGTTTGCGATACGAAACAAGTGTTTCCGTCATTTTTAATGCCGATTATACACTATATTTTATAGTAATTCTATCTCACCGTATATTTGTAATTAACTGTCGAAAGGCTTGGATTTGAATATCCTTAATGTGTTGTCCGCTCCGCCGGACAATATCAGCTTATCATATGACCAGTCACAGACAAGGACCTTGTCTTCATGTCCCAAGAGATCAAACAGCGGTACCTTAGGGCTGAAAAAATATAATAAAATTAATTTTATCCTTTTCATTTTTGTTTAGCATAATTTTTTAAAAATAATTTTTCAATGATATAATCTATGAGCACAACCTTCTGGTGTCCCAAAGCTTAACGGTGTTATCATACGCTCCCGAAACAAAAAGATGTTCATCTTCAGGCGCCCAATGCACAGCTGCTACCCACTGCGTATGAGAAGTGAATTTAGCTTTCGCAATTGTACCCTCTGAAATATATAATTTTGAGTAAATAGCTGTAAAATTCATATTTCGTCAAATGTCAAATTAATTGAAAGTTAAAAAACTTAAAAGTTCAGAAATAGAATAAACTTTTATAATTTAAAATGTAATATTAAATTTTTTTATAAAATTCTTAGATTCGATTTTATTAGATTGAGAAATTAGAGAAACATCGACGAGAGAAACTTTAATTACCTGTAGATCTCGGATCGTACAGCCTCACATGTTGATCAGCCGATCCCGCTATCACAGCGCGCGAGTGTGGTGAATAATCGATGTCAAAGAAGCATTTATCACCATGGATTTCATGCTTAATGCCGCCCAATTCAGTATCCCAAATTTTTATAGTATGATCCCACGAGCCTGTGATAATCTCCATTCTGCCGGACCATATAATTCCGCTGATTGCCTGTTTGTGTCCCTTCATCGTGCATTTTGGCGTCTATATAAAATAAATGCATTGATCTAATGTCAATCAAGGAATTCTCTTTTCTAAATTATCAAATATTAATTGACTTGTTTACAAAAATGCATTATTATTAAAGTCCTTGTCCAAGACAGGACTTTAACAATAATGCAGAATGTCTATACATCACATCAAAATGTTAAGACAAATGTTTTAATTTATTTTATTCTACATACCTAATTAATTTAATTTATTTTTATCTACATACCTTCGTTCTATTCGCATGTTCCAATTTTGCCTTTTTCGATGAAGATTCTTCGTTATCGTCTTGTGTAGCTTAAGAAAGTAAAAATAATTTGTCTTACTAATATTTCGTGTCTGTTCGCGTATGTTTTCTATCAAATTATTTCTATATCCATATTTTCTTATTTCTACTCTTTCTTTATATCAAGATCATATTTTTAAAATATACAAGAAAATAATATGTTACAAAATCATAAAAAATGCTGGCGTTCTTACATAGTGACCATAAATGTAACATATTATCCCAGCCGCCAGTCGCTATTAATGTTCTTTCGAAGTTAATGCCGAGTGCTTCAATGCTTCTTCTGTGTCCCTTGCAGACATATATACATTCCACAGAATTCTTCTTCATATCCCAATTCCATATCATGCATATCTGATCCATTGATGCACTGTATGTAAATATATGTAAATGTAAAACTGTTAATCACTTATCATTCACTGCAATCTATTTGAAGTTTTATTTATATATTTTGAAAATGTTTTGAACATGTTCAACATGTTGATTTGAATGAATATTTAATTATTTAATAACAAGAAATTCATAGATATTTATAAATATATTTTCTAACAGATTACCTAGCGAAGGAAGCATTATGGACATTAATATATATCCAGGCTACTGCTTTGACTGGAGCTCTATGTCCAGGAACATCCAAAAGATGCTCACCTTGCAACGTCCAAATATGTATCATATTGTCATAAGAACCAGTTAAGATCCTATAAATAAAATAATTTTTGATATTAATATTTCAATTATACTAAAGACTTAGAGACTATTTAGAGATTTCTGTCTTTTCGCTTTTCATAACTAGAAGCTAACCATTTTTCAAGAACGGCGATAGCTGATACCCAATCATCGTGTATTAAACAATCCTTAGGCTCTGGTGAAGGATATTTCTCTATATATTCCACATCTATTAGATTCTCAAAAGGAATTCCCTTTTCTGTGATGTGATCTATTAAAGAGGTACGCAGAAACTGTGAGCAAACCAAGAAATCAAACTCTACTTGGTGATGGACAAGGTTGGATTCTGTGAACAATCAATTTGATTTTCTAACAAAGTAATGAAAAAGCCTTTTTACAAATTAGATAATTATATATAAAAATAATTCTACAAGCAATTTATATATTAGAAAGCACAGTATATATCTAAATATTTAATGCAACATGTTAGATTTAACGATCAAAAATCATCTAAAAAGAAATAGAAAAAGAAACAATACAACACGTGGTAATTTCCCTAAGATTGAAAATTGTTTCTCACCCGCCAAAAATCCATTTATCAGAGTGTTTAATTCATTGGCATCTATCGAATTGTGGACTGATAAGGGAAGCTCTGCTATTGCGTATCTAGAATTATTCAAATCAAAATATATTGATATATCGTATTAAATCTCGTAAACGAATGCATGACTGCAACGAGGGGATGAAATAGACAAGTTTTTACCGTGGGTCTTTGGTTATGAAACGAATTTCTATATCTCGTCCGTCGTTTTCGGTGCTTGCCTGCATCCTAGCTTTCGATTTCATTTTAGAGTGATTCTTCTTAACGAACTCAACTTCCATTGCAGTCCAGCTGAATTTTCTAACTATCCGTATCGGGTTTTTAACCTCACCACGAACCTCAAACGAAACGCGCCGCTAAACACGTGCGTCACGGAGCCGCGTGACGAAACGTATGGAAATGGAAACGTATACTGATCACAGACCTCATTAGAAATCCTGTAATAAGTAAGTATGTACAAGTCGGTACAAAATAGGCATTTTTGATTGGTCCACCTATACTTGAGTAGTTATATTTCTTAATTTTTAATTAATTAATTTTTTAATTTTTATTTTTATTTTTATTTTTTTAATTTTAATTTTTATTTTTTAATTAATTAATTAATTGATTTAATTAAAATTTAATTAATTAATTAATTTTAATTTAAACAATACAATTAGAAAATAAATATTTTATTAACAAATAAATTTCTTATATTATACGTTTAAACGGTGCACAATAAAATTGTAAAATGTCCATGTTTAACATTCTTTCTTTGTCAAAATTATTTTTAAAATTCATGGTACATGGAAAAAGAAATAAAACTTTTTTTAATTTTTAAAATTAATTCGAAATACATTACGCAAATTACACCTGTTCACTGATAGATGCCACCACGATTCTTCACTTTATCCGCCGACGTTTATCGACCGAGCGGCGTCGCCGCGTTTGGTCGATATCGCGACTCATCGTCGCGTAAATGTGAAAAAGCACGGTGCAAACACGGTGACGATGAAGTGGGCGGTCACGGCGGTGGTCTGAAGCGGGAAGTAGTTTTGGTGCTCGTACTTGCAACGGGAAAGGGTAGGATAACGGGCGCGTCGCGGCTTCCGCGGTCGAGAAGGCGCGTCGCGAGGGTGTCGTACCGTCGAAAGGTCAACCCCGACGGCTCGGCGACCGCCCCGGGTGCATGTGTGTGCGCGCGCGCGCGCGCGCGTGTGTGATATGCCGGCGTCCCTCTCCCTGCTGCGGCACGATACGTTGGTCCTTTAAAACTAACCCTCCACCTCGCGCCCCGGGGGTCCGCCGCTCGAGCACGCCGTGGTCATCGTCGTCGTTGTCGTCGTTGTCGTTGTCGTCGTCGTCGTTGTTCGCTACTATGCGCATCACGCATTAACAGCGTATAACGCCGTTAGCAAGGTGAGCCGGACGCTGTCTCTCTCTGCACGTACGTATTGTATATGTAAACGAATTATTTTTATTGCGCGGATGACCGAAGATCGATCAGCGAGTGTGTATGTACACGGCGAGTGCTTTCGTTTTCTCCATTTCCGTTCTTCCTTTCTCTCTCTCTCTCTCTCCCTCCCCCCCCCCTCTCCCCCCCTTTCTCATCCCTCTTTGGGGGTGGAAGAACGTGTCTCTAGGGCGAGTTTCGAAGATGAACCGCGTTCTACGCGGTGAGGGATGTGGGTATACCGTGCGTCTTGGATTTCTCTGAATCGCTCGAAAAGGAAAGAGGAATAACAGAAGGAGGATTACATTCCTGTGTACTTTGTATTTGTGCAATTTAAATTAATTTGTATTAATCTGAAATGGGAGAAATTTATGATGCGATTGTAAATGAATAGAGATATATTTCATCTCACTTATATTCTTAGATACAGATGTAGTGGCAATCAAATTAAATAAGATTATAATGTGGAATTTATTTACGCTCCAATAAATCTAGAGAGAAAAAAAATTGGTCAAGTATGAAAAAGATTTTATTGCGCTGATGTAATCTTTTGATATTCATATTTGATATATATTTATATTCAGAAAAGTTTTTGAATGTAAAATATATTTCAAATTTAATTTGATTCTTTAATCTTCATTTAAAGAATCTTTGGCATTTAGGCAAAGAATCTTTTGGCTAATTTTTAAGAATCTTTAAAAATATATTCTGAGATTTGCATTTGAATGGATAAGCAAAGTGATTATATGTAGACGTAGACACACACACACACACACACACACACACACACAGTATTTCTTTTTTGCTTTCTTTCCTCCCCTTTTATTATTTTTTTAGTTTTTTTTTTTTAATTAAATTAATAATGTTAAATGAAGTGATACTTGTACACTTCTTTCTACTTTTTTCTTTTTTCTCTTTGGAAGAAATAAGTTTTTAAAATATATGTTGTAAAATGTATTTTGTTTGTATATTTTAAATACATTTAAATTAATTAACCTACTCATATGATTGGATATTCATTAACTATAGTAATATAGCTGAAAAAGCATGATCTGTTATATCCTTGACAACATGCGTAACTTAACGCGATTTATATACACTGTGACATACAACATTTGTCAACGACAGGAATACAAAATAGCGCATTATGCGTTACGGCGTAATAAGCATCGGATTTATGAGTCAAGGATATTGTATATCTTTTAATTCGACATAGTCAAATCCAGGCAGAATCTTTGATTTTTTGTTCGGTTATAAAAGAAAAAAAGGATTAATAACTAATTTCGTAATTTTTTTTTGTGAAAAATAGAAAAATATGTCAAGTCTATCTTTATTAAAGATGAAAAACATTCGATAAATAAATAAAAATATTGAAATAGAAAAACAGGAATTGCATATTAGTATCTGATATTAATCATAATTGTAACTTTTATTACAAGACATATTAGAAATTTTTTATTATTAATTAGACTATATTATAAGAAAAGTGATCTAATAAAATTTATTAATTTTTTTATTAAATATCTTTCTGTGATTTGGATCACAAGTCAGAAATTTTTTTAAAATGGAGATTAAAACATTTTTTAAGAGGAAAAGTTTACTAATGCCAGCGATAACTATTTATAGAAATATTATTAATTACTTTGAAGCTGTGATATGCATTATTTTTAACTTAATATTCCTTTTACATATTCAACATTTTCTGTGCTATATAAAATAATATAAAATCCTTGGACTTATGTTTTTTGTTGATTATAGCATGTATGCGCTGCAAATGCAGACTGCTTGCCAGGGCGAGGGCAATGGTGAGCCCGATGACCCCAGCAGCCTTCATCAGGAACCAGTACGACCTGCCACTCAAGATTGCAGCTCTTTCGATATTGTCAGAGCTACGCAGGTAATTTCAATACTCAAATCAAAGAAACTTTTGTTTTAAAATCTGTCTTAAAAAATGATGAGGCTATGTGTTACAAGTATCAAAAACAATAAGTTAACGAGTATACTCCGTGTTTTTAAAAATATAATTTTAAAATATTTGAGTGGGATGTATTTGTAGTATGGAGCGTTAGATCGAGTGACACAACTGGTGGAAGCTGGCGCCGATGTGAATCAGCCTGATTCAGAAACTGTGACGCTATTACATTGGGCTGCTATAAACAATCGCAAAGATATTGTAAAGTATCTCATTGCGAAAGGAGCCGTAGTTGATGCTATCGGTGGTGAATTGGCATCTACACCTTTGCATTGGGCTACAAGGTTAGTATTTTAACAGATACCGTTAGCTTATCGACTCCGATTTATAAACTCCGTTTTTACGAATTTCGAAGATTTAAAAGAAAGATCCTAAAGAAAAATTAAATCTTTAATTGTGCTTCCAGACAGGGCCATCTCTCTACGGTCGTGATATTGATGAGAGCAGGTGCTGATCCGACTTTGAGGGATTCTGAAGGTTTTTCTTGCATACATTTGGCGGCGCAATTCGGCCACACGGCTATTGTGGCTTATCTAGTGGCAAAAGGTGTAAATCCAAATATGCCAGATAGAAGCGCCATGACGCCTCTTATGTGGAGCGCTTATAAAGTTAATAGGTACACAGGGTACCGAATTATTATTATATAAGCGATTCTTTTTTTCAATAGAATAACGTTATGTTGGTTACTTTAAAGTCTTTCCTTTTACAGTCTGGATCCAACGCGACTATTATTAACTTTAGGAGCATCACATTCACTTACCGATAATCTGCACGGTAACACGGCTCTACATTGGGCTATTATAGCGAAAAACAATACAGCAATATCTACTCTTGTGCAGCATGGAGCCTCGTTAGACTTGCCCAATTTCCAAAATGAGACGCCAATGACGCTGTTAGGTCCTCACATTGGTGCAGCATGGTTAGGACACAAAATCAGTCAAGAGATTAAGGAAAAGCAAGGTCGTACGAGAACATGGTGTAGAGATAAGGTAATTTCTAAATTCAGAATACACATCTTAAAGAAAATTTGATATAATCAAATTTGATTAAATCAGAATCATTTTTGAATTTCTCCGTATAGGTGTATTACTATCATATATTCTTTTTGCAGAGAATCCGTTGGTACTGCATGGTCAGTACACCATTTATAGCATTTTATGTGATCGGTATGGTTTTACAGAGCGGATGGGATTATTTATTAAAACTAGGTGCCTTCATCACCCTTTATGTAACAGTATATGTAATGAACCATTTCGTGTTCGACGAACGGCTGTTTCACATTTTGCCAATGTCGATTTATTTGGCAACCAAGGTGCGTATAATCCCGAGACGTATTTTAGATAACCGAGGTCGTTTATATACGATTAGTTTCTGATAAGCTGTTAAACGTGATAAGCAACAACGTCGATAAGACGATAAGCTCAAAAGATAGTGTTAACACAGTGCTAAATAAATGTCGAATTAACTGTATAGATAAAATAAAATTAGTAATAATATGCAATGCAAATATAATTTTTATTAATTTTTGCATTGCATATAACTTTTACACAATTAATATTTAAAATATTAATATCGAGGAATTACAATTTTTATAAATTTTTACACATATGATGATGCATATTTTAAATATTTGAATAAGATCTTAATACGATAATATATAAGCAAATATAATTGTTTACAAGTTAACAAAATTATTCGTCTTTCTAAAATGCAGTTGTTACGTGTCGATCTATATATTTAATTGGCAATCCTGACTCTATTTCTCTTTTCAGATGTGGATATACGTCACATGGATATTTTGGCTAGGTATTCACGCAGCGTGGTATTTATGGCTGTTGTTAGTTGGCGGATCTGTTCCTCTTTGGATATGTTTCCTACAATCTTGGCGGGGTGATCCCGGAATTATCACAGCTACTCATGAGGATAAATTAAATGTATTATTCTTTTTATATGCTAAACCATTTTATGTACATGAACGACGAATGTATGTTTATTTTTATGTGCAGACGATAATCGAATTGGCTGAGTCAGGTGGTTTCGAGCCACAATGGTTTTGCAGTAGTTGTTTAGTCAGAAGACCTATGAGATCTAAACATTGTTCTACATGTGACCGTTGTGTAGCACGATTCGATCATCATTGTCCATGGGTTAATAATTGCATTGGTAATTAGAGAGATGTGAATATTCTTATTTATACTTAATAACAATATCTCTCCTTTTACGTTAATTGATAATTAGTTTACCATATTTGTTTAATTAGATTTTAATAATGGATTGTTTCTTTATATTTCTGCTTTCAATTTATTCTTTTCATTACTCTTTTCTCTCTTGTTAAAATTAACAAATCATAACAAATCAATATTAGTTAAGTAGTGATTATTACTACTTCTTACAATTTTCAGGTGCACATAATCACAAGTATTTTCTTGGATTCTTGGCTTCTTTGTTAGGCCTGTGCATTGTTATTTTATCCGCCAGTGTACAATATTGGCAATTTGAATGTTGGTCAAATTTAACAAATGGTCATAGCGCAGACAATTATCTGGTAGCCGCAGCTACCTGCGACGCTTGGGTGATGTGGGTAGCAGCCAATACGTCCCTTCATTCTTTC